GTGAGTTCAGATCCTGGGCAAACCATGTCAGATAAGATTGGGTCTAAGATGGAGGTAGAAGAGAAGGCTGAAAATAAGTCACTTCAAGTGAGGTCCTTCCCTAATGGGTTGGTCATAGAGGAGCTGGCCATGGGTAAACCAGATGGCAAAAAAGCTACTCCTGGACGAAAGGTGAACTTTTAGCTCTTTATGAGTCATATGGGCATGGCTATAAGTGTTCTAAGTTTTAACCCCTTTCTGCCAATAAGGAGGAGATATGAGAAAAATGAAAACAAAAGCCTTAAGTGAGAGGAGTTGGTGATCTGTGTTGTGCTAAAGTACTTCCAGACAAAGCTATCATTAGTGCATGTGGTAATATTTAGTATCGCTGTTAATGAGAGTTATTTTTTTGTTCAATATACAGGTTAGCGTCCTATATATTGGAAAACTGAAGAAAAATGGCAAAATATTTGACTCTAACATTGGAAGAGCACCATTCAAATTTCGTTTAGGTATTGAATTCTTTTGCATGAACTTGTGACTGCAGTTTGGAACCGTATCAGTTCTCTCAGTTAATATACGTGTCTGTGCTAACAGGCATTGGACAAGTCATTAAAGGATGGGATATTGGTGTTAATGGTATTCAAATAAACTTTTTCCTGATTTCAATAGTTGCTTTCCAAAATTCAGAATGAAACTGACATCTTCTAACTCTTAAAATCACCAGGCATGCGCACTGGGGACAAAAGAAGGCTGACAATTCCACCAGCCATGGGGTATGCAATTGTTCATTTTTTAATGTAATACTGTTGAATTGCAGTTGAAAACTTGAAATTTCAGCCAGTTAAAATTTTCATATATAGCAGTAAAAATATCCTATAGAAAACATTTACTATGCTGCTACTCATGTTGATCAAATAAGGTGGGTGAAAATAGGTGGAAAGAATAGAAGGCAGAGGTGAAAGAACCATAATTGCTTTTGTTGACAATGAAGTAGTTGGATCTTAACCATTCCAGACGTCCACTTCTTGGGAGCAAAACTTATCTTAGCTGGTTTATAACAAATGTACCAACATTTGGAAGAAAATATTGTTCCATTCTTAGTGTTTAGCTTTTGGTAGCGATATTGGCAGTCCACATGATTTAATATGTTCTGGCAATCCGCTTTTCCTTATGTTTGTGGAAATTACAAAGAGGATGGTTTGCCAGTGCCAAAAGTGAAGTGCCAAGGTTGCCACTGTGTTTATTTTGAGTTGTACGGTCTCTTCATAATTCTCATAGAACTTTAGGATGATTAAACAAAATTTTCTTTTCATCTGCTTATTGCACTAGAATTTTTTAATATTCCTTTCGAGTTGGTATATGTTCTTTACTGTTTTGAATCCATCCAAGTAATAGGCTTGACAAAATTGTTCCATAATGCAGTTATGGAGCTCAAGGTGCTGGTGCAGCTATACCACCAAACTCCTGGCTGGTTTTTGATGTTGAGTTAGTTGATGTGAATTGATGGGATTTGTTTCTGGACAGTTACATTCCTTTTCTGAAGAGTGGAACATTTTCCTGCGAGAATTTTGCTTCCCAATTTTGTTACTGTTTGTACAGTAGTTGCAAGCAGCAAGCTCATTAATTAGACCCCAAATTTTGTTGGAATTTTTTCGAGTGTTAATGTCATATGTACCCTATGGTGTCGAAAAACAGTTGCCCAAATAGCAGAAGCATTTTCTATGAGAAAATATAATTGATCTGGGATTTCCATATTATGTTTCAGATTTATCTTCATGGAGTAATTAGATTATGAGTAAATTGCGAGAATAGTCACTAAACTATTTGAAGCGGTACAATTTTTTTTTCCGGTCAAAAGGTCGCTCAACTCTCTAAAACGTATCTTTTGATTCATTCATTGTTAAGTCAATCCAAAATGACGGGCGACCTAGAACATTTTTTTCCCTAAAAACTTGGAATGCAAGTCAAATGTGCATCTTAGTGGTTGGTTACGAGAAAAATTAGCTAATATGACTTAAAAGGTTCATTTTAGAGACTTGAGCGATCTTCTGGATAAGTAAAAAAAAGGTTCAATGATCAGATCATGCTATTTTAAATAGTTTAGTACCTATGATCACAATTACTCCTAAACTTATATTTGGAATTACTTTTGAAGTTTTTAAGTAGATATAAGGGATAATTCCAGAAACCTCCTCTGAGGTTTTTGATAATTTCACTGAGCTCCCTTGAAGTTTTCAATATTACACTTACCTCCCTTGATGATAGACAATGACTATAATAACCTTCATAATTTTTCAAAATATAAGCCGTTAATAAAAAAAAAAGGGAAAAGATAACAGAAAAAAGGAAAACAATTTTTCTTGACTAGACTTGTGACCAAATTATTTCTATCATGACCATTAAATTGTAACATTTTATTTCTCAAATATGCTAATCAAGAAATATGTCTCCTTCTTTCTATCACTCAAATATGCCATTGTTGTTGATGATGATAGAAGCAATCATCTCTACCAATAACCCAATTGTTCATATCATTGAACATAAAAAAGCTATTAGATTACGAGAAAGTATAATTTGATAAATTGTACTAAAACTACTACCCTAAACTTGCACTTTGTTGATATTTTGTCTAATTCCTCTTAATAGACATCAAACTTGTTCTCAATAAAATTGTGTCAATTTAGAGAAAAAAAAATATGGATTGATTTAAGGTGACCAATCCAAATGTTGAGAGAAGAGGTTAAAAGAATTTTGTAACTGAGGACTTTACCATTTGAGTGGGAAAAAGGTAAGGATTGTGAGTTGTATAACCAACGGTTTGGTAAGCAATATATGAAAAAAAACCTATAGAAAGATAAAGATTGTAAATTAAGAATTACAACGGTGGATTTTAGCATCTAAGACAAAGAATTTGTTCAGAAGAAGAAGTTATAAGAGTTTAAAAATTCAGGTGGATATAGAAAATCATGGGGATGGAAAATATCAAGACATTAGCTAAACAATAAAATTCATAATTTTGGTATTATACAAATGTATTCTTCACTTTGAAAAATTTTTAATGATTATTCATATTAAGGAAATTTAGATGAGGGTAATTTTGGGCATTCATATAATTTTTTGGTCTTACACTATCAAGGTGAAACCCCAACCTATGTTGTAGGGGAGATATGTGTAATTTTTAAAATGTGATGGGAGCTGTCTGAAATTACTAGAAACCTTAGGGGAGGTTTCTGAAATTATCCCTATATATAATACCCTATTCCAAATAATAATATTGATAATTGTCAGTGTTGGGCGGGAAAAATGGTAGCGTGGAGTACCATTTAAACTTTAAATTCCTCAGCTAAGACATGCCTCGATATCTTCATTCCACAAAATCTCGTGTGCGAACACGCAGAGAGAGCAACATCTTCAGGGTTCTAATCCACAGAAAGTGAGAAAAGCAAAGGTTCCATAAGAGAGGATCACATCTACCTGAAGCGAAGTATAACTCCCACGGAAATGGTTCACATAAGGAAGGAGACTAGACTCTACGGAAGCTTAGTAAATGTGGCCAAATACACCCAGTTGAGCACCGAGAGCTTGCTTAAACAGTTGGATTTCCTCCTCTTTTTTTTTTAGTACTTTATTGGGGATACAGATTCTTTTTCAAGACAAAGAAGAAAGATGTTATCTTGATTTTTTAAAAGATTATGGATTAGTTTGATAGTGATTTTATTTTGGACCATTTGTTTTTAGATTATGTTGACATATTCTTGATTTTGATATAAAAAATAACTAAAAAATTGGATGATTTTAAAAATTATCAAAAAATGTTTACTAGTTTGACATTTGATCTGATAGTTATTTATAATTACTTTGACCTTATTGATGAAATAAAAGAGAAATGAATAAAAAGTAAAATCGGGAAACAATTATAAAACCTATCCTCTGTATGTGCATGACAAACAAGGGAGCTTAATTATAAAGTTAAGATTAGTTTTTTCATTTCCAAAAGGGTAAGAGAGACAGGTAAAATTTTTGATACCTTAGAGATCCTCAGCGAACTTGTTGGAGATTGAAATTATCCCTAAAAGCTTCAAAACATTGGTTGAAACAAGGTCGAAATTAATATTGTAATAAAAGAGAAGCAAAAATCTTGCTTTGAAGAGGGAAATTAGTAGGGGTGTGCAAAATCAAAAAATTTTGATTTACCAACCGAATTCGGTAATTCGGAATGGAAATTGGAACATCCGATTTTGAATTGATCGAATTCTGTAATGAGATTTTTCAAATCGAAAATTTTAATTTCGAATTCACAATTCGAAATCGAAATTGAATTCGAAATTCCTATTTCGATTTTAAATCTGTTTTTCATATATATATATATATATATATATAATATAATATAACATTTATATTATAATAATAATTTTTATATTCATGAATTCGGTGAAATCGGAATTCCTAATTCGATTTCAATTTCGTTTTCACACATATATATAATATTTTTTATATATCTGTAATATAATATTTATATAATAATAATCATAATTTTTATATTCATGAATTCTATAAAATCGGAATTTACCGAATTCCGAATTGAATTCCGAATTGGTGAATTCGAAATCGAAATCGATTAAAAATTCTGATACCAAAATTTCGAAAAATTCTGATTTCAAAATTCCAAAATACCGATTTTGATTTTGATTCACACCCCTAGAAATTAGAGTGAAAATTTCAAGAGATTGGTTATAGCATAGACAAACATTAAAAGCAAATATTTTCACAATAAAGAGTGAGAAAACTATTTTATACGGGATTCATGTTATTTGTTTTTAGATATAGGATTTTTTTAAAAAAATTTTTCCCAGCCTTTGCTACTTAAAAAAAGTAGAAAAATGTTGGGGTAGCATTGTCATTTCAGTACCGCTGATTGGGATATCTAGGCACATGTCACGTTATATTGACAGAGGAGGTAAGTGAAATTTTTGTAACTTTGACAGCGCTAGTTGGTATTAGGATGAACCTCGGGAAGGTTTCTGTAATTAACCCGAATTATGCAAACATTCATGGAACCCTAATTCATTCGGGCCCCTTATTACCCCTCCATCCTCTTATCAGCCGCAAGCCCACCCACGCATTGTCACTGTCCATCGACGATCACAACTCACTGCTCGTCCGCTTCTCCCTCTAATCTTGTCAACCGCACCTTCCTCCACTGCGGGAGCGTCGATCGAGAGTTCAATTTCTCGGTCTTCCCGAACAACAGTAGCCGCAACTCTGCTCCTCCCTTTCACTCGCTCAATCTTACCCGCCGGCTGCCGCTCCTTTCTCCATCGCCTGAAGTAGAGGGTGCAGCTTTACAGAGCCAACCCATAACCTGGTAACCACCACGAGTTGTAATTTGTCAGATTCTCTCCCCAAAATCAATTGCTATGTGCAATAGAATTAGACTCCTGGTTCTATGTTATATGCTTTTGTTGAGGCTATTAACCTTTTCTGTGAAGACTTGTGAAAATTGAATTCTGAATGAATATACTTCGTTGAATCTGAATTCACTTTGAGCATTCTGATGTAGAAACCAGCTAGAGGAATGTAAACTTTTGGTAGTGGAAGAAAAATCTGAACTTCTGTTTTTTCTATAGAATATCAGAAATTTTGCATTTGATTATCTATTAGAAGCTTTTGTAGTGACTGAGCGGGTGTGGTTGAAGTGAAATCCACTTAGCTAACTGACGTATGCCTTTATTTTGTCGTGTTTACTTAACTGGTATTTTCTTCTCCCGGGGGCACCGGTGGGGGAAACAGGGCGGTGCCGGGGAACTTTTGGACACCGGGATGCCTTCCCCCACCCCAAAACTGCCCCGTTGCCATCCCTAGCCTAAAAGTGAGAATTACCTGTTTTGAACTGGTGCTGAGAGAGGAGGGACAAGCCGATAGGGTTTATTAGGAACTTTGAGGACTGAGGAGGCTGCGGCCTTAACTGGCTCGTATCCTTCACTAAACCTTGATCCCTTCATCACCAACCCCTCCATTTCATTTAGTCAGCTTGCCCGTCATCCATCCATCGATCCTCTACCTCCCCCCTCTAAATTTAGAAAAGGAATCATATTTTTAAGTAAAATTTTCTATCACTTGTTCTTGTCCATTAATTTGTTATCTTGAGTTCACGTGGTTGTTTGTTTTGGGGCTTTTGCTATCCCTTTTTGTATATCTTCTTCTATTTCTTTCCTATGGTTGAGAGTTTTTAGGGTTTTTTTTTCTAATATTGGGAAATTTAAGATTCGGTCTTTAGGATAAAAATCTAGTTTTTTTTTTTTTAAAACTTTCTTTAGACCTTTCATTTTACTTTTCTTGCTGCTATTTCTTGGTTATTGTATCTTGATTTTTTTGTGATATCTCCACTATGAAGGTTCTGACGGTTAATTTTTGTCTCCTTGTATACTTGTCCTCCTGCTGTAGTAATTATAATTTTGCCTGTCTGTGTCCTTGTTTCCTGTATGAAGTTTCAATTGTTTTGGCAATTTGGGGTTGCGGAAGTTGTACACTTCAAGTGAATGGATTTACATCTTTTGGCCCCATTAACTGATTTTATTTTACTGTTTGGAACAGTTATATGCGTATATTTACTTGCTTCTAATATTTATGGAGCCTATTGTCCTCAGGGAACCATCTATTTGTGAAAAAGACAGATATCTGTGCGATTAGGAACGTGTACAATTAGCTATGCGGAACTTATAGTTTAGAATAAGGCAGGTCTTAATGTAAGTCTTAATGTAAGTAGGTGTCAGAAAGCCATCTAAGTCCTTTAAGGCTTGCATACCCGGTCAGATGTCATCTTCTGTTTGCAAGGTGTGCATCACTAGCAATGCTGAATATAATTCTCATATAGTTTACTTCTGGTGACAGCTGGTTAAATATGGATGAGAAACATACTAAGTATCCTTTTTGACTTAATGAGCTTACCTACTGATTATTTTCTTACTTTCTTTTTCTATTGTTATCCCAGAAAAGGTTATGCTGGACGAGGAAAATATCAATGATCTTGGAATGGAGGATCCCGATAATGAAGTCATTGATTCAGAACCAGAGTCAGAAGGAGATGAAGATGTGAAGTTGGCTGAACCTTCAAAGACTGCTGTAAACAACAGGGACGGTTTGCTTGATAAACTGGGAGATATAAGTTGGCCTGAAAATGTGGGTTGGATACACAAGCTTTCGGTAGACATTGACAGGGAGCAAGAGGTGGACGTTAACGATGACTTGACGCGGGAGCTTGCTTTCTATACACAGGCATTGGAGGGTACAAGGCAGGCCTTTTTGGAGTTTCAGTCAATGGGGATACCTTTCTTGAGGCCATCTGACTACTATGCTGAGATGGTCAAATCTGATGCTCACATGGAGAAAGTTAAGGGTCGTCTGTTGGCAGAGAAAAGAAAGATTGAGGAGAGTGAGGAGAGAAGGAAGGCAAGGGAGAACAAGAAAATAGCCAAAGAGGTACAGGCACAGAAGCTCAAGGAGCGGGCTAAGCAAAAGAAGGAAGAGATAGAGTCTGTTAAGAAGTGGAGGAAAAATAGGCAGCACAGTGGCTTTGCAGGTGGTGACAAAGACGGTGACTTGGATTTTGCTTTTGAAGATGGAAAGGCATTTGAGCGATCAAATAAGAAACAGCCCGGGGTGGCTCCAGGAGACCGTTCTGGAGGGAAGGCAGGGAAAGGTGGTGGTAGAAGGGGGATGAAAGGGCCAGATAAAAATAGAAAGAATAGGGAATTCAGGAACTCCAAGTTTGGATATGGAGGAAGGAAAGGCCTAAATAAGCAGAACACTTCTGAGACTACAAGTGATGTAAGAGGCTTCAACGGTAATTTTTCAGGTAGAAAAAGGAAGAGGTGATGCACTTTAATGTGGTTTGCTCGGCGCTTTAAGGGGGGAGACAGAGGGAGGAGAAAGTGCCTGCGGAGTGCCAGAGCTTTAAATGGATCTTTTTTCGAAACGTGTCTTTTTGACAAAGTGCTTTTAGAAAATTTGGTAATTTGCTCAATTATATTAGCTTAATATTTATGGTTTATGATTCTAATGCTGTCAAATAAGCTGGCAGGTTGAGCTCTTTGATTGGGAAATTTTTTTGTTGCTTAATGATGATTTTATTCTGGGATTAGCCAACTTCCTGTGTCAATCGGGGTTCAGTTTTATAGATTTCGAGGTATTGATGTTATAGTTGTTTCTTTTCTTTATACAAGCTCCAACTTTTCTGCCCTACTACCTAAAAAAATACCTGCAACGTTGTCTGCGCTCCACAGTTTTATTTGGGAAGCAGTCCGGTCCCTTGGAGTGCCCCTACAATGTGGAGGGCAAAAACTAGTTCTCTAAGTTTTCTCATTCTCATGCCTTGTTGAATGAATAAAGGCTCTGACTCCATTGGATGTGAGAGGAAATCTATAAACTTTAACACAATTTCTCTCTTATTCAAGGAAGTAATTTCTTCTTAACATGAAGATAATTCTATCCAATCTACGAACGAGGCAGATTGACGGATTAATTAAATATTGTCTGCTTAAAGCAAGGTTTTTGTACCATTGGGCTTTTGGAAGTAATTGTTCTGTGAAATAAATTATTACACTAACAAATAAGGATATTTTACAGTTTTTAATTTTAAATGGACAAAAACTCCTCTTTGTGGATTCCTGGGCGGCTGGGCCTCCCAAATGCTAGAGATTTATTCAATGCTCTCAAAAAGTGTGTTAATGCCGAATAGGTAATCAATACAAATTATCTCTAAAAATATTTCGCTTGCATCATAAAAAATTTTTTCAATCCATCTTTGTATATTCCTAACTACCTTTTTTTATTTTACATACATCAAATCACAAAAAAAATGCTACAGTAATTATTTCAAGTAATACTCTATTATCACCCAAATTAACTTCTCCTACAGAAAAGCGAAAGCTCAGAAGAACGGACAAGGCAGCACTCCAGGCGCAGGCCACAGTCGAAGGGCTTCATTAAGGGTTGTTTTTCAAAGGCAGGCTCCGCTGCATATGCCGTTTGAATATTAATCGACAGCCCTTTCAAATTTCAATTAAATGCCATCAGTGTCTTGCAATTCTATCTATCAAAAAGTACATAATTAAAGATATCATCGGATGAATTTCAAACCAATTCATTTCAGGATGACTTCGAATTTGAATCCACTACCTTGAGAAATAAAGGGCTTTTAAATACTTGATGAATGAGAAATTTTATGTTGATGTCGAGCAATTATTTGGCATGCCTGATAATTGATTCCAAATCAATAAGAAAGTTTCGATCGAACATTAATTCACATGCAAAGTGTAGAGCCTACTTTGAAATCAAGTAGAACCTTTTTGTATTAGTTAGGGGCAACTGCTAGACTTGTCTAGCAGCAAATCAACAATAATTTAAGGTGTTACTCGAATTCTCGTCAGCATATTTGACTCGATCATCATATTAGTTCGATTCCATCTATGGCATATGAAGCTAAAAGTTCCCGTGTGTGTTTCAACTGGAACATGGCATAAGGCCACGTTTAAGTCCGAGTTCTCCTCAACTTTCCCATGTTAATCCTTCCTTTTTGAATTCCTTCACTCAAAGCCAACCGTATTGTGATTTTTCTTGCTTAGTTGATGATGATCCCTCTCAAAATTGATTTCATCAAGAGGGCCTTTCTGCGTTTCAGCTACCCGAATATTGTTCAACATCAGCAAGAGTACCCTTCATAACCATAAACGGAGTCAGAATTTTTTTGTTCAGGGCGAGCGAACGATAAAGACTGTAGAAATTGGAAATAATGAAACAAAGAAAGTATGGCAAATTGTATTCCAGATTCAAAATACTATAACTAACATTTTAATGCTAGTACAAGTCTTAAATAAAACACTCAGAATCAAACTCTCTACCCTTCTATTCTTTAACAACACGAGTGTTATGTGATAAAAAAAAATGTTATTTTATTAATCACTTGCTGTGCAAACAATTATGAGTGGCTTTTTTACAAAAAATTATCTTAGAATTTAAGGAAATTAAGTTTGATTTGATATTAAAGTAAGATAATATATTTAAAAAAATCACATATTACTATATTTTGTCAAATTTAGATGTTAAAAAGAATAATCACCGATAAGAATAATTAAGCATTGAAAATATAATAGAGTAATTACTATAGAAAAAAACTTAACAATAGCATTTTTCTTGGAGCATTTGGACTCGGAGTTTAGAGGTTGGCAGTTAAAATTTAAAACAAGAAACTCCTGACTTCTCATGTTTGTAACAAATGACGTATTAACTTTTTATGTTGATTTTATTTTCACTTTTTATATTTCACTTCTATTTTAATTGGTATTTCAATTTAGTTTGATTGATATTTTGCAAAATCGTTCAAAACATTTTTCACGTTTTGCAAAATAACTTTTTTCGTCCATTGCTTTTAAAAATGTAATTTTACGTTCCTTACAAATTCACATTGATCAAATTTGATCCCTACTTAGGTTTTCGACTAATTTTTTGTCGGAATTCACCACGTGCCTTGCACGTGATTATATTTTAAGGGCAAATTTGTCAAATCAAATTTTATATAATTCGATTCATAATCCCTCACATTTCATAAAATAAATTTTTTCGTCCTTTACATTTCACAAAATAAATTTTTTCATCCTTCACGTTTTTCAAAATGAATTTTTTCATCTTTTATTGATCATGTGTATGAATATTTTTTTAAAATCCATGTATACATTTATTTGATTTTAGCTGAACAGTACGAATAGCATGTGAAATCAAATAGAAATATATTACACAATATTTGTATTGCTCAAGTGAAATCAAATAGATATATATGTGGGTTTAAAAAAATTGTTAGTTTTTCACTTATATTCATTTTCTTTTACTCGAAATTTGAAAATAAAGAAGACAGTTTATCCTAAATATTATCGAGTATTTATATCGAATTAAATTTGGATAAAAAAAATAAACAAAAGAAAAGTATGATATAAAGAAATAAGTGATTGGCACTTTCAAATTTTAACAAAATCATAGGGCAAGTAATTCAACTGTTGATCTTAAAAGTATCGAGTAGAAATTTCAGATTTAAACTGAAATTTGTTAGCACAATTATAGAATTCGAGTTAGAACCCATTAATTAGATGATCTTATTATACAACTTAATAAATAAATTATTATCAAAAAAGAAATGTCACAATTATTGAATAGGTACAAATGGTAAAATCATATAAGTATATACATGGGTTTCAAACAAAATTATTAGTTTTAAACCCCTATATATATCTATTGAATAGCATGTGTATAACTATGATTAACATGTTTAGATGAAATTCAATAGAAATAAATTACATGTTATTCATACTGTTTAAGTAAAATCAAATAGACATATACGTGAGTTTATAGAAAAAAAACTGTTCGTATACATGATCAATGAGGGATAAAAAAATTCATTTTCAAAAATATGAGGGACGGAAAAATTCAGTTTTTTAAATGTGAGGAACGAAACAACTCATTTTGTAAAATGTTAAGGAAGAAAAAATTTATTTTGTGAAATGTGAGGGACTATAAATCAGATTATGTAAAAATTTGATTTGATAATTTTGCTCTTAAAAAATGATCACACGCAAGTCATGTGGTGGATTCCGACAAAAAACTAGTCAAAAACTTAGGTAGCGACCAAATTTGGTTAATGTGAATTTGTAAGAGGCGTAAAATTACACTTTTAAAAGTGAGGGTAAAAAAAAATCATCTTGTAAAATGTGATGAACGTTTTGAACGATTATCCCTTTAAAAAATAGAGGTTGGTATATTATGTGAAAGTTATGTAAAGAAAGAGTGTGAAATATTAGTCTGTTAATTACTTTGGGGACTGAGGGCAAAATAAGGAGATTTTATTAAGTTGATATAAATAAATGTTTATAAAAATATGATTTTCAATCCCAAACTCCCGTCCCTACAGACTACTTTCTCAAAATATTGGTAAAAAAAAAAAAATTCATACAGATCAACGGCCGACTCACAGACATATAATTAGAAAATGCCATTTTCAGAGTAATAGTTGTAGGATTTTTGTTTTGGACAATATTTTGTGGAATTAGCCCTGTCTGCCTTCATCCAATCCTTGATTATTCCTTTTGTTTACTCCTCTTAGCAGTTATTTGTAGGAAAATATTAAAAAAAAAAAGAAGATAATTTTGGAATTGCAAAAAATACCAGCAAGTTCACCAATTAGCAAGGGATAGGGCGTGGATTTAAAAGGGGAGACTGTGATTAGATTAGCCCCTTACTTGAGCAATTACTGAATTGTCAGAAATGAGTTGTTGGGTCCATTTTACTCTGGAACTCATCTTTGTATTGGATAATTAATGATGCAAGTATGAGCTTCGGGCCATGCTTATGATTAAACCACTTCACCAACAAATGCTTAAACATGATTTAGGCATCATCCCATCAACATCAAATCGATTAACAAGAAGATCGACTAACTGATGATGGATGTTAGTCGTTAATTGTTGTTACACTTAATATGTATCTGTTTCACACGGTTTTATCGTACCAATATTTATTAGGGACAATTCAGAAACCTCCCCTGAGGTTTCTGTCTGTCTCACTCACCTCCCCTGAACTTTGCAAAATATCAGATACCTCCTTGAACTTATAGTTGGAATAACAAGATTAGTCCATGTCAGAAAAATGAGTATTAAAAAAATATTTTGAGGAGTGAGATGATATTTGTGTTCCACATATGCCCTTTTTGCTTATCCACAACTTGAGCTAAAGCAAAAGCAAAAAAAAAAGTAATAAGTTGAACCAGATAGAGACAAATACAGATGGTTTCTTCAAGCAATGTTACAATGCTATTTATATTTTTTTGTTGTAGCTATTAGACATTTATTTAGCTAATATGATCATTCAATTAATTGAAACATACTTCTGGTGATATAAAAAAAATGTATAGTTTTATAATTTGAGTGATTAAAAGTATAAATTTTTATTAGTTAAGTCATAAAAAAATATTATTTGAGTGATTAAAAGTATAAATTTTTACTAGTTAAATCACAAAAAATTTTCACTATTTGGTTAATTGATTGAATGGCAATTGCAGTTAAATAAATAATGTAACGATCAAATAACCAAATTCTCAATAGTTTAATAACTCTTTTTGCGATTTTCTCTGTGGAAAATGAAATGAAATAGCGAGATACTTCATTTCATTTAG